AGTGCTCCCAGGAGGTGCCCACCACAGAGTGCTCCCAGGAGGTGCCCGCCAGAGTGCTCCCAGGAGGTGCTCGCCAGAGTGCTCCCAGGAGGTGCCCGCCAGAGTGCTCCCAGGAGGTGCCCACCACAGAGTGCTCCCAGGAGGTGCTCACCAGAGTGCTCCCAGGAGGTGCCCACCAGAGTGCTCCCAGGAGGTGCCCACCACAGAGTGCTCCCAGGAGGTGCCCACCACAGAGTGCTCCCAGGAGGTGCTCACCACAGAGTGCTCCCAGGAGGATGCTCCCCCACAGTGCTCCCAGGAGGATGCTCCCCCACAGTGCTCCCAGGGGCCAGAATTTCACTATGGATTTTGCTCCATCATGAGTCACCCTCCTCAAGGATAACATTCCATTAGAGAGAGTGACCTCTTGAAAATGACATCCCTTGAGGATGGACAACCTGCCCCAGGGCAGATACCAACACTCTTCCCCATGGAGACGTTCCACCAGGGGGCCTTCCCTGGGAAGAGAGTGAGAAGTACTGGCCTACTCCCCTCCGCCCTATGGTTCAATGCAGACTGTGTCCTCTGGCTTTTAGCTCAAATATTTTATTCTTCTATGTGATAACCCTGGACTCCCAGGTGGTCTCAGTCAAGGGGAGAGCCTGATTGGCATCCATGGGCCCACTACACCTGTGGGTAGGTTCCCAGGGCCCTGGGGGCTGGTGGGCCAGCCGGGCCTGCCCTGGCAGCTGGGTGGGGTTTAGCGTGGGCCCCTGGGCACAGTGGGCTCCATGTGGGGCACCCCAACCCTCCACAGGGGGGCCCTTCTTAGGCTCAGGGCAATTCCGGGCCTGGCTGCTCACCCAAATCCATTCAGAGCCCCCATTTCCAAACCAAGGTTGGGATAGGGAATGGCCCCTTGCCCTTCTCCTCCCGAAGAGTAGAGGTGGCCAGTTCTGCCTCTGCCCCCTCCCTCCCTGAGCCCTCATTTCTCCACAAAAGGCTCACCTGGCTCTGTGTGGGGCCAGGGCAGTGGGGGGCAGGGGGAAGGCCAGCCCTGCAGGGATGTGAGCCTCCACCCAGTGCACAGAGAGGACAAGGCTGACGGGGTTGGAGGCGGCAGGCAAAGGGCAGGAGGGCATTCCAGCAGCAGGAACAGCCCTGGCGGTGCTGGTCCAGACGGAGCTGGAGATGCAAGGCCGAGCCCCGTGAAGGTGCTCTGCTTCTAGGCAAGGGTGACCGGTGTCCCGGCTCCCCCCAACGCGCCAAGGCAGTCCTGGGGCCAGGAACCCCCACCTTCTACAGTGCCACACAGAACACCCGACCACCTTGTGATCCAAAATCAAGGCTGTATTTATCTCCAACGATTGACACGAGAACTCAGTGTTTAAAACAACCAGAGTCCACAGTGGAAACATGGGTTGAAAATACAGAACGGAGCAGATGGCTGCTGACGGTCGAACCAACAAGGCTCAAGAGTGCAGCGGACACAGGGGGGGGTGTCGGGGAACAGAGAAGGGTGCTGGGCACAGGACAGGGGGACGTTCGGGGTTATGAAAGCAAAACCGAAACCAAAAGGAGATCATGCCAAGGCCTCCACAGGTGGAGGAGCGCGCTGAGGGACATCTGCCGATGGCCTTTGCACGGAAGGGGAGGTGGACAGAAGTTACTATTTCTGATTGCAATGAACCTTTAGACTCTTAACTCCTAAAAATCTACTTGTCTGGTATGGATTCTGAGAACACTGCTCAGTGAGCACTGGGGTCCACAGAAGTGTCCTCGCGGCCAGAGCCGGCCGAGGAGGGCGGGGCCCAGCTTGCTGCGAGGCTGGGGGAAGGGTCCTCCCCAGACAGCGGCCCAGTCCCCCCTCTGAGCGCTTGCATAGTTGAAGGATCTGCTGCAGTGAAGCTTCTGAGCGTGTCCAACTGACAGCAAGTGGGTTTTTTGTGACCATGTTAAACAAATAATCAGAGAGGTTTCTAGAAACTGCCTTTTATAAAGTCTACCTAGGTTAAGAATTTAATAACGTCATATATTTATATTAACAGACTATTTACATATTTCATTTGTTTTTCTTTAAAAACAAACCAAAAAAGAAATCCTCTTATGCTTCTGCATAATAAGGCAAAAAAAGTTTTTACATTATTATTAATTATTATTTTAATATATATCTGTAACTTCGGTTCCAAGTACCAAGGGAGGGCCAGGCAGGCCCTGAGTGGGGGCCTCACAGTGCGCTGGACAAAATGACCGTTTTTTCTCCATAAATAAGACAAAAGATCCTGGGGCTCTAGAGAGGGATCTGAGGCCTTTACATTGCAAATCTGAACTGAAGATAAAAAAGCAAAAGTTTCTCTTTTCTTTTTAAATGTCTAAAGAGCACAAAATTGAAAAAAATACAAATCTATTAAAAACACTTCTCACCTGTGGGAAAAGATGTACAAACTTGAATTCTCCTCCAGTAGCCTAATTTCAAGCTCAGAAAACAAAAGATCACCCCCAGCAAAGCTGTGGATGAAGCTCCCCGACTGTGCAGGCTTCGGGTGTTAAGCAAGGGTCACCCCAGGACTGACGGCGCTGTGCTTAGGTTCTAGAAACGTCCACGTAGAAAAGTTTACAGCAGTGCATTTGTGGAAGGGCCTCTGTACACGGGGCGCGGGGTCCCGCGGGGACTACCGCGCCTCCACCTCCTGGGGGTTGCGGGATGGGGAGTAGTCGCGCGCCTCGGGCCCATGGCCCCCAAGCGGCGTAGTCCTGCTCCGCGGCGGCGGCCCGGGGGGCGTGGGGGGCCCGCCCGCGGCCACCAGTGGGGGCGGCGCGCCCAGCGCGGCGGCGTTGGCGGCGGCCGCGGGCGGGGTCCGCGCCAGGAGCCCGTTGTGCAGCGCGGCGGCTGCGGGCCCGAGGCGCGGGTAGTGCAGGGCGCCCAGCGCGGGCAGGAGCGCGGCGCCGTCCAGGTGCGCGGCGGCGGCGGGCAGGTGCGGGCCCGCGCCCAGGTGCGTGGCCCGCGCGCGCTCCAGCTCCTCGCGGCGCGCCTCCCGTAGGCGCTCTGGGCTGTAGTCGTGTGGCTCGCGGTCGCGGTAGGGGCGCTCGGGGGGCTCGAAGAGGGCGGCGGGACCCGGGGCGGGGGCGGCGGCGGCGGCGGGCAGGGCGCGCCGGGGCAGCTCCAGGCCGCGGTAGGCGTCGCGCAGGGGCTCCCATGTGAAGCCCAGGCGCTCGCGGGCCGCCGGGCTGGGCCCGAGCTGCAGGGGCGCAGGGGGCGCCCGCGGACGCTCGGGCGCTGGGTGCAGGCCGGCCCCTGGGGGCTCGGGCGCGTCGCTGTCTTCCCTGCGCTCCTCCTTGACCTTGACGTCGCCCTGGGGCCGCTCGGCCGGCGCTTCGGGCGGCTTCCCCGGCTCTCGGCCCAGGAGGCCCGCCAGGCGCAGGCTGTCGCCCAGAGCCGCCTTGCTGTAGGGAGATGGCGGGCGCGCGGCCAGCTTGGCGCCGTCCTCCTTGGCCGGAGAGCGGCTCTCCTTGACGCGGGGCTCGGCCTCGCGCTCAGCAGGGACCCCGGGCCGGCACGGTTCGCTCTGGCCGCGCAGCAGGAGGCTGCTGGCTGGGGGGCCCACGGGGGCTGCGGGCGAGGCCCGGCTCAGCAGGCGCGTCTTCTCCAGGAGGTCCCTGGGAACAAGGAAGACACCTTCACTCAGCCTATCAGCAGGAGGGGCTTCGTGGAACAGGGTGCCCGGAAGCAAGCTGTTTGCCACCAAGTTCCCACTTGTATGACCTCAAGGTCCTTGGGGGGGGGTCCCACACCCTCACAAGGCCCCACAATACCCCACGTCTCCCCTCCCCTCGACAAACAACTTGGAAACCAGTTTTGTAGCAGGACCCCAGAGCTCCCCACCCAGACCCAAGCTGCTACACCCCTGAGGCAGGACAGACCCTCAGTGAGGAACCTGGGCCCCAAGTTCACTCTGGGGATGGGACCCTGGAGTCCTGCATTGGCTCTGGCCGACCATAGCTCCCCTTCACGAGGCTCCATGGCCCTGTGCTTCTAAGCCCTTTACCCGAAGTCTGGGGGCAGAGATGAGGGCTCGGCCCCCAGGGCCTTGGCAGGCTACCGGCAACAGGAGGGGCGAGGCTGGGAGACCTCCTCTGCTCCCGTCCACTCCACCAGCCAGCCACAACTCCACCACCTCAGGTTCCAGACTCTGCTGCCGACTCTGGAATAGGACTCCCACCTCCCCTGCCCCAGCCCAGCCCTGCTGCCCGGGGGCAGCCCGGTTCAGCCCCACCCTCCCAGCCTGGGAACTCGCCCACAGGCGCCCCTCCCAGACCTGGCCCCACCTAGGGGGTGCCAATGGCTCTGCGAGCTCCCTGCAGAGGCCCCGCTGTGGTCAGTGAGCCGACCTTCCCTGCTGTAGCCTCCAGGGGTGGACCTGCTCTCTGCACAGCTCCTGCCCAAATCCTGCTCCATCAGGGGTTCTCCATGGGGGCTCTCTACTGGGCTTTCCCAGCCCTGAGGGTACAGCAAGGGGGATCTCCACACAGAGCTTGGATTGGCCCACACCCAGAGTTCTGCAAAGCCAGCTGGAGCCCACAAGAGCGGGGGGGGGGCGCCACTCACCTCTCCTCCCTGCCCTTGTCCGGCTCTCGGTCGTGGTTGGTCAGGGCTGAGACCCGATCGGGGTCCACGGGCTTAGGCCATGGGGGTGGTGTGGGAAAGGATGGTGGCGCCCGGTGCAGTCGGTTCCAGGCCTCGTGGGGGCTGGGCAGGCCATGCAGCACAGAGCTCTCCTTGGGGGCAAAGATGCCGCTGCCCTGAGCTGAAGAAGGATGGGAATGAGGCCAGGACAGCTTCCCTGCCCCCACCGAGGGTGCCCTGTGGGGCCGTAGGGCTGCTGGGGAGAAGCACACCATTCCTGCATCCCAGGGAGGTGGCCGGAGGGTAACAGTCAGGGTCTAGCCCAAACCCACGCCAGGAGCCCGAGTGTGCGTGCATGTGGGTGAGCGGAGAGCAAGCTCGGTGGTCACTCACTCAGTGCGTGGCTCCCCAGGCCTCCGAAAGCGCTGCTGCCCAGGCTCCCCAGGCCCCCGAAGGTGCCTGGCCTGCTGAAAGGGTCTGTGGGGACAACCTGGGCTCAGGGTTCTGCACGGCTCATGCCAGGGCTCCCACCTGACTCCCCTCCTGTGACACCAGAACATGGCAGGTGCTCCTATACAGTCTGAGGGATGGCCTTTCTCTTGGGGTCACCTCCCCACCCACCTGCATCCTCCCCCAGCCCTGAGGGCTGCAGAGGGCCAGCCAGCCTCCAGGGAGCGGAGAGCATACCTACCTGTCAGGTGACTGGTGGTTAGGAAGCTGCTGGGATGGGCTGAGGGTCCGAATGGGTTGGTGGTGGGATGGGCAGCACCTGTGGGGGCAGGTGGACGGGGGCCTCCTGTTTGTGGGTCACTCCCAGGGTCGGACACCCCAGCTTCCTCTGGGGACCCGTCTATACCTCCCCCGGAAGCTCACGAGGGAAGAGGGGAGAGAGGCAATGGCAGCAGGGACCCCAGAGGAGGTGCCGAGAGAGCTGCCAAGGCTGTCCTGAAGACACTGGCCTCAGGGCTTCCAGCTGGAAGCTAAGAAGCCGTGTCCCAGTGGACGCACCTGCTCCCGCAATGTCCCCCAGCCACAGCCCGCGGGGGTCACTATGTGGTCAGCTCCGCCACTCACCGGCGGGCCCACCCTGCCTCTGCTGGAGCCCAGCCTGCAGCACCTCCAGGGCGGCTGAGTTGGCCCTGAGAAGGGGCTGCTGGTCTGGGGGCGCTGGCCCTGCCACCTCACACGCCCTTGGCTCAGGAGGGCGGATTCCCGGCACAGGCCAGGATGGGGCCACACTCATCTCTGCAGCGTCCCCCAGCTTGGGGGACACCTGCTTGCTGGGGTGCCGCCGGCGAGCCCCTCCACAGCACACATGCAGTTTCTCATCTCCGGGAGCTCCCCACCAGAAAGCTAGCCGCTCTCCTGAATCACTCACAGGACATCAAACTGGAAATTAGAAATAAACAGCTTGCCATGGTGCTAGCGAAGACGTGTACCCGCGTGTGTGGGGGAATGCGTTACTCTAAGAGCACACGCAGTGAGCAAAAGCCAATGAGCTGACAGGCAAGCGTCCAGCTCAGGAGCTGGGAAGGGCGGCAGCATAGACATTGCAGGAGAGACACCCACCCCAGACCAGGGCAGGCAGCCGGCGTCCGTAAGCCTGGGGCCCGGTCTGGGGGGCGTGCTCTGGGCATATGTGGAGGGCGCAGCAGGGCTGCGCTGTGCGTGGGCGGGGAGTCCAGGCTCCACGCAGCATAGGAAGCCTACGCCCACCGCCTGGGCCCCACGATGAATGCGGGTCCTGTGGACTCCACGGATTAAAGCCCAGATGGGAGGACCTCTGTTTTCTGAGGGACACCCCTCTGTCCGGAGGCCAGCCTGGGTGCCCTTGTCCACACCCAGCACCCCAGCCTGCTGACCGCATGTCTGGGTGGGAGGGGGCTGCAGGTGGAGGTGGGCATGCATGAAGATGGAGCAAGGCAGTCAGGGAGGGCTGAGAAGGTGGTGCCTGCAGGGCCCTGACTGCTGGGGAGGGGGGCGGACCCCTCCAGAGGTGGGCCGTGCACAGCTGTGTGGGGTGCTCACAGCGTGGGCCCAGACGGCCGGCCTTGGAAGCACCTGTGTGTGAGGCTGGGAATTCGGGGCTGTTCTCCCCTTTCTTGGACAGCAGCGCCTGTGAACCTGACTCACTTGCGCTAACGCTGGTTCACACGGAGCGCCTGCTTCTCTTCTGGGAGTCTGCGGTCTGGGTGTGTGCGGGCAGAGGAGCTATGTGACCCGCCCCCAGTAAAAACCCTGGGCGCTGGGTCTGTGAGCATCCCAGCGCCGTGGCACTTGGTGTGCGTCATCTCGGTTCCTTGCCGAGGAAATGGGGTGCGTCCTGGGCCTCCACAGGCCAGCCCTCAGCGGCCCTGCGCCCGGCTTCCTGCTGATTTCACCCCACGTGCCTTTCCCCTTTGCCCATTTGCTGCGTCCCTTCCCTGGGATGCATCTGAGCTGTGGGGGTTACGCTGAGTCCTGGAAGGGCTCCCCATGATCCTCGAAACTGGGGGAGGCCCGGGGGCCCCAGCATGGCAAGACTGTGCCAGGGCAGGCACATGGATTCTTGGGGCCTGTGCCAAAACCCCTCCTGGGAGACGGGCAGGCCAGGCGCAGGGGAGGGCACCCCTCAACCCCACTCAGGTGGGGGTGGGGGGACAGCAGAAGCGGAAGCTCCAGGGCAGAGGGGGCGCCCGGGGAGGGTACCACACACGGAGGCACAGAGGCGGGGGATGCCAGGGGGTGCCCCAGTGCATCTGGAGTTGTCCTGCTGGAGCGCCAGGCCAGGGAACAGGCTGGACCTCCCCTTTCCTTGTGCTCTGGACAGGGTGCCTTACCCGAGCCAGAGAAGAGGGGCCGGGCCAGGTCCTGCGGGTAGTGGAATCCGGCAAACACGCCCGGGGCAGGGGGTCTGCTGGACAAGTCCAGCTTGGCGCCCACCTCCAGCTTGTGGGGGTCCAGCTGCATCTGCTGAGAGGGACAGAGCACGTGCAGGGCCCGCCCGTCCTGCCAGGCACTGTGGGTCATCCTACCTGCTGTGGTGGGAATGGGCCCTAATCCCTGACCCAGGAGAGAGCCAGGTGCTGTCAGGACGCGTGATGGACAGAGGGGTGTCTCGTGCCTTCTGGGGCCTCTGAGAGCTGTGTTTACACTAAAGCACCTCAGTTCGGACATTACACTTTCACTGGTAATACTTTACCTGTGGTAAGATTTTGTGAAACTGAGTTGAAAGAGCGGATTCCTATTACCTGTTGTCTAAAACTTGCTTAGAAGTTTCCAGTGACTGGATTTGGCATCGCTATTAGCATTTAAGTTTATTAAATAAGGACAAACAAGCCTGTGGCTCTGCTGTGATGGTCCCATGAGGCTAAAGGGCCGGGCTGGGTGCTCACTGGTGCTGCCCACCTCTGGCGCCCTGCCCCGGCAGTGGGGGTCTCCAGCCCACAGGGGCCTCCCCCAGGGCTATACCTGAACATTTGCGGAGTGCAACAGTGCTTTGTCCTAAGGCCCTGTGGACTTCTCGCAGTGCACATTGGCGGGATCATTTCTGACAGCCGTGCACGGAGGTGCATGTGACCAGAGATAGCAGCAGAGGGTGTCAGGACCCTTCTGGGACGGGGGGCTGGTCCGGGTGACTAGACTGCCTCCACCCACCCTTCCCTGGCATTCCCAGCCCGCGGTGCGTCCCCAGAGCGCCCACCTGGCACCACCCTGCCCCCTTCAGTGTCTCCTGTTCACTGCTGAGCACCCAGGCACACACAGCAGGTGCTCAATAAGTGCTTGGAGGAAAGGTCGGGGGACAGAATCGAAGGTCACGTGGATGGCTCAAATGATGTTGGTGGGACTGGCGCAGGGTCAGCTCATCCCAAACCCCTGCCTGGGGGCATCCTGGGTGACCCCCCCCACCACCCGGCCTCCTCCCCAGCCCTACCCCGTGTGCCCCCATGATGGGCACACAGTGAATGTCTGTCAGACGCGGCCCCGAAGGGGTGCATCAGGACACCGTATGACACACCGGCCCAGCCGGCAGGACACGTGACCGGCTCACCTTTATCTTCTGCTGATGGTGGTAGATCTGCCAGGCGATCTGCACGTGCACAGCACACCACTTCCCAGGTTTCTGTGACAGGGCGGGCCACACGCTCAGCCGCACAGTGGGGCCTCTTCCTTCTGCCCCCCTCAGCACCCCAGATTCCTGTTGTTGTGGGCACCCCTGGGGCCATCCTCAGCCACGATCCTCCCTCCCAAGGACACATGCACACACGCACAGACGTGTGCCTGCACACTCACCCTGACTGTGGTCCGGTATGGGTCGGACACCTGTCAGCAACAGAGAAGGAAGTGTTAGGTCCAGGCTCTGGGGGTGGCCATGCCCTGCCACCATCACCACAAGGGGGACTGGGCTGGCTGGGGTGACCCCAGGGAGGGAAGGATGGGCAGTGTGGCCACCTACCCCGGGGCCTTTCTGGAGGAGGGTGTGAACAGCACTGGCCCGGCCTGTTACCTCGATTGGGTTGGAAGTCTGGAGGGAGAGAACAGGACGTGACAGAGCTGCAGAGCCCGCGTCCCTGCACACTGCCACCCGGGGGGGTGGGGCTGGCTTCCCACATCCTCAGTCCAAGGGTTTCTGCAGAGGTGGGAAGGGGCTCTTGACAAGGACATGCCTGGCTTAGGGGCCTGAGGCAGCCCTGCTCTGGGGAAGGTGAGAGCAGCAAGCCCAGTCCTCTCCCGGGCCTCCTGCGACATGGACGGCCCCGTGCTGGACACCCGACATAGACCTCCCCTCTGCCCTGATGCTCTCCACGCCAACCTCGAGCACTCCCAGCTGAGGAATGAGGATGCGTGAAGCCTGACTCCCATTGTTCCCTGGTGCCCCCCCCGCCACTGCCTAGGCTGGGGGTCCTGCTGAGGCCCTGCAGGGAGCACGTGAGCCCCCAGCCCCCTCCTGCCGTGGGGCTGCACAGCCACATCCCACCCGGCATGGCTGGCTCACACCAACACCAGGATTGCAACACACACAACTGCATGGCGGGGGCTCCCATGTGCCCTGAACCCCGTCCACCCCAGGAGCAGCTGGTACCTTGGGCTGAAAAGCACCCTGTAGGGACCCAAAGGGGCCTGGGTGTGGGAGCAGGGTGGGCAGTCCGGGGATGGCAGAAGAGAAAGACGGGAAAAACTGCAAGAGAAAGAGGGGGAGCGTTCCAGGGCCCCGGCTGGGAGCATGGACATCCTGGGTGGGGACGCTGGGCCTGGCCCCCTGCTCTACGTGGAAGGGAACCTGACAAGGCTCTGGGCAGGCGCAGCCCCACCCTTTACCCGCGACCTCTAGCCCACCGGCCAGCCCGGTGACCACAGAGGGACACTCACGTTGGAATGTCGGAAGTAGGGGCTGTCCAGCTTGGGTGCGTACTTATCAAACTGGAAGGAAAAAAGCGGAGAGTGAGGCCTCCCGAGCCTGCCCACACCCTCCGCTGGGCCCAGCACCCATGCCCCCGTTGGGCCAGGTGGAGGCCCAGACGGCTGTCCTGCTTCCTGCGGCTGGTGGTCTGCAGCCAGCCGTCCCCTGGGCTCCCTGAGGACACTGGCCCAATGCCCTGACCTGGCCCCTTGGGGCCCAGCTCTCAGACTGGGAGGGGCCCCTCCCTGTTCTAACGGTCCCACTGCGGGAGGTGCAAAGTGGCCCATGTGCACCATCCGACTGTACTGGCTGAGGCCCAGGGGGAGATACTGCAGCCATGATGAGGGGCATGGAGCCCAGAGCTGGTCGTCAAGCAGTGACATGTACCTAGGAGCCCAGGGACCTGGCCCTTCACAGACCAAAGCCTGGTGGCATAGACTCTGCCCCACACAGCAGCTGGCTCCAGAGACGAGGGCCCAGGACCCGGGGCCCATGGGATGGAGTCCTGGTCCCGCCCTCTCAGTCCTGTCTCCAGACCTGCTGACCTGGTGCTGACTGAGACGGTGAAAACCCCGTGTGGGCACGACTGGCCCCAAGGCCGTGCCAGCCGAGTGTGGACGTGGGGCACCCGCCCAAGCCCACAACAGGGAACCTCACGACAGGACCCAGAGAAGGACCAGAAGGAGGGGCCAGACGGCCAGACGGGGCGGCCTTGGCCGGCGTGCGTGCGGAGAGCGTCTGCGTGTGCGTGTGCCTGCTGTGTGTCCCGCCGCCCGGGCCGCCCCCCGCCCACCCGCATGGGGGGCCTACGCACCGGCGGGGGTGCGGCGGGCGGCAGGAGCGGCGTCGGGGGCAGCCCCGCGGGGAAGGGGGCAAATGTGTGTTGGTGCTGGTGTGTGTGCTGGTGTGTGTGTTGGTGCTGGTGGAACTCCGCCCGCAGCAGAGCCCCCGGGCCCAGGGGGGCGCCGGGCCGCTCAGCGCTCTGGACCAGAAAACGCGCGTTCAGCTCTTGCCTGAGCAGCTCGTGATCTACAAGAGAAAAAGAGAGAGAGACGGAGAGGCACGTCGGCCGCGGGCTCCGGGCGGGGCGAGGCGGATAGTCACCTGGCACTGGTTTCGGCAGGCCAAGCCGTGGTGGCCGCTCGCTAGGTGCGGGCCCCAGGGTGGAGGTAAGAGAGGTGCCTGTGACCAAGTACCAATCAGAATCCCCGAATGAGGCTGGCAATACATGATTGGCTGGCTGAATGAGATCAACAGGCTGGCATCTAAAGGCAAGAGAGAACACCGTGAGCCCCCGGTGCCCCCCAAGCCGGCCACAGGGGAGCCCTGCCCCCCCCCAGCCCAGCATCCTGGTCCCATCCCAGGGCACCAAGCTGCCCGGACCTGCGGTGGGCTGCTCAGGATTTTACAAAGAACGTGGAGACGAGACCCCTGGGAGAAATCTTCCACGACCTGATATTTGGCCTTGAAGGGCCACCTGCCAGAACCAAGCAGGAGGGAGAGGCCAGGCTGCTGTGGTTCACCTGGAGACCCCCTACCCCGGGGGGCTCTGCACGCCCCGTTGTCCCAGACACACTGGGGATGAGGGACTGCAAGGGTCACAGCAGGCCCTGGAAGCCTTCGTTGGCCTGGCAACGGAGCCGCTCCAGGCCCCCCTCCCCTTGACTAGGCCTGGCAAGGGCTCAGGATGGAGCAGCGGATGCGTCTGTTTCCGTGTGCACATGTGGGGCACCCATGCGCCTGCGTGCGTGTGCACAACCCAGGCCGACACCGGGCAGTGGGACCCCCTTGGGAAAGGCAGCCTGCGGGGGCCAGGGCCCCCCGCCATCAGCCCCTGGTGTCTGGGAGCAGGTGGGGGAGGCTCTGCCTCAGGAGCCCGTACCCCTTCCCTGGGGAGACCAAGTCCCTCCCACCTGCCCAGAGGTGAGGATCATTGTGCGGGGGTCGGCGACCCCGGCCCCAGCCAGCACCTACCGGCAGGGTGTCCTGGGATGACCAGGCTGTTGGCCGGCAGCGCCGGGGGCGGGGGCAGTGTCGGGGGGGCGGCGAACATGGCCGCCGCGTGGTGCTGGTGCTGGGCCTGCGAGCGGAGCGCCAAGTGTGAGGTAGACAGGTGGGGGCCCGGCCCGAGAGGCGACAGGGACGCGTGCTTCGCGAGCCCGAGGCTGGCGCTGCTGCCGGCGCCGCTGCTCCTGCTGCGGGGGGCGGGGCTCAGTGCCTGGGGGCGGGGCGTCCGCGCGGCCCCCGCCCCCGCCCCGCGCAGGCCCCTCCCCTCCCCACCTGAGGCTGTGCAGGCCGTTGTGCGCAGCCTGGCCTTGGCCGGCGAAGGCGCCCAGGGGCAGAGGCACGTGCGTCGGGAGCGGGGCGCGGGGCTGTGGGGGCGCGGGCGGCGGCTGCGGGGTGAGGCGGGGCAGGGCAGGGGCTTCCTTCTTGACCGGCGGGCTGGCCGGGGCGCCTGTCGCGGGGTCGGCGGGGGGCGCGGGGCTGCGCACCGTGGGCAGGAAGGGCGGCTCGGCGCTCAACTCGCGGCTGCGCTCCAGGCCCGAGACTTTGGGCGGCGCCCCGGCCTTGGCCTCGGCCTCCTCGCCCAGCGTGGGGCCTGCGGAGAGAGGGCCGGAGTGAGCTGGGCCTGACTCAGGACAGTGGCAGCGAGGTCACAGCCAGGGCTGAGCCCCCCACCACCCAGTCCACAGGGGCCAGGGCTGGGGAGGAGGGCTGCCGGCCCAGAGAGCTCGCACTTTCCGGAGGGGAGGCAAAGTGCAGCGCACGCTCGGCCCAAGCAGGGCATTGGTCCGAACCTGATGCGCACATGGACGGGCCCTTCCTGCCACTGCGCAGCACGCGCGCTAGTGGCCTGCGTTCTTCCCGAAACCACCCAGGTGACCCATGGCCTGAGCCCTCCTTGGGCCCATGAGCTGGGGGAGACCTCCAGAGGACTGGCCGCGCCGGGACCCGGTGGGAAGAAGTTGCTGCCCGCCCCCCAACTGCCGGCGTCCAGGTTGTCTCCCACCCTCGCCACATCCACCGTCCAGGCAGATCCCGCCGAGACTGCTCCCCTTAAACTGTGCCTGTGCTCGTGACCTTGACTTCCTCCCCGCTCATTCCAAACCCGCCTTTCTAAGCAGTGTCAGGTCACGTGCCCAGAGGTCAGGTGGGTCAGGAATCCCCAAAGCAGGCTAGGCAGCGGGCACGTGTCCAGGCCACAGGAGGCTTTGTCTCGAGCGGACCACGGCCCAGTTTCCCACGAGTGGGAATCCAGGTTCCTGATTGCGGTCACCCCATTTGGGCTGCGGGCAGGGCAGATTTCGCGTCCTCCTGGGGCCCATGCAGGCACTTGCCGCGCTGAGTGGGGCGGAGAGCCTGCAGCTGCAAGGCCGTGGGACCCGGGCCGGCAGCGAGACCCAGAGGACTCTGCTGAACCTCTGGGACGTCTCCTCCCCTGGCAGAAACCGGTGGCAGCAGGAAATGGCTCCTTCTGCCTCCTCTCGGGTGACGCCTCCCGCTTTAACCAGCAGCCCGCATGTTTGCTCAGGGCCAGAACCGGGGAGGAGGCCACCCCCACTAGCACCACCACTGCCATGAGAACAGGGACTGAGGCCTGATGGCTCATGGCGCCATCTCTGCCCACCCGCTCACAGCTGCCAAGGGGTGCCAGCCTGGCACTCTGACCTCTCTCTCCCCCATCTTTGTGCCACCCCTTGCAAAGTAAGCACAGACCTGAGCAGCCGTGAGGATGGGAAGAGGCAGGTGTGGGCTGGGCAGAGCTGGTGTGCGGCCAATGCCCTGGCCCTCCTGCAGCCCCTCCCCTCACTGGGAGGCGTGAGCACTACAAGTGGACACCCCTGCTAGAAGCCTCCCTGGGCACTGCAGAGCCCTGACTGGTTGCCCGAGCTCTGCCTACGCACGTGCGTGAGTGGACCTGGCAGTGGGCTGAACTGTGCCAAAAAGCCCTGTCCAAACTGTGGTCCTTAGAACCTGTGAATGTGACCTAATTTGGAAAAAGGGTCTTTGCAGATGTCATCAAGCTAAGGATATTGAGATGACACCAGTCTGGAATAAGGTGGGCCCTAAACCCAGTGAAGGGCATCCTTCTAAGACCAAAGGAGGGGACCATGGGAGGTGGGAAGGACACCCAAGAGGAAGAGGAAGGAAGGAACCTCCCCTGGAGTTTCTGGAGTGTGGCCTTGCCAACACCTTCATTTCAGACTTCTGGTCTCCAGACTGTTGAGAGGGTTAGTGTCCATCCATTTTGTGATTTTTGTTGAAAAGGACACGGTTCTGTGTTACACTCTGTGTGAAACTCTCTCCCAAGCCCAGTCCGGCATCCCCTGCCCTGACTCTGTCTGGCATGTGTCGGCTTTGCAGAAATGCTTTGATCTGAGGACGAGTCTTCTCCACCTGAAGCACGGGGAGACCATGCCCTGCTCCCAGACCAGCAGGACGGGTCACTGTGGGCCCCCACCTGTCTGTGCTGCAAGGCTGTCGCGTCCAGTTCCATCTGGACAGAGCCTTCCAAGCAGGCCCCTTATCTGTGCTGGGTCCAGTGACCCTGGCAGGCTGGGTGACAATGGCCTCTCCTGGCCTTGGATGCTGGGGAATTCACTCTCTAGAGCAGTGTAGGCCAGGAGAGCTTTCTGGCACTATATGCCTGTGCTACCGTGTGGGGGCCGCCGGCCAGGGGGTGGGGCTGCTGTGCAGGGATCTAGTTCCTTTATGGCAACGTTAGCCATGTGTGCAGTGGTGGCCCTGGCAGCCAGCCTATACCGTGGCAGGGGTGCCTCAGCAGGTGCCAAACCACGAGCTGCCAGTTGTCCCCAGAGCACCTGACCCCATGAGCCTCGGGAGGGTCTGGGAACATGCCTTGCTAACAGTTCTGGGGAAGGGGCAGGAACCCCACTTTGGGAACCACTGCTCCATTGCTGGCCCTGCTCCTGACTTCTGCTTTCCTTGCAGCTTTTGCGGGGGCGGGGGGGGGGCTGTAAATCACAGCACGTAACTCCTCCCTCAGGCTCTGCATCCAGAACCCGACCCATGATAGAGCCTAACCTGGAGCCCACGCTCTTGCCACAAAAGGCCCACTGCCCTTTTCCATGATGACTTCTGGGATGTGTCCTGTCTTTTCCTAGAGGCGAGGAGGTAAGGCCAAGGAACATGCTTACCTTTATCAGCTGCTGGGGCGAAGAGCTTCTCAGAGCCCACAGATGCCTGGAAAACAGACAGAAGGGTCAGAAACAGAGGGGATGAAGGGCCTGGGGGTGAACTTGGCTCTTACCCTGCCCCCAGGACACAGGTCTGGGCAGGTTTTGTGCATGTGAGGTCTGCCCGGCCTGGCAGAATGTGTCCTCCTGTGTCCAGCTGCCACCCAGGAGGGTGACCATGCCCAGGCCTGGTGCAAGCATGTGGGCACACAGGTCACTCAGCCCCAGATCAGGGACTCAAGGATGCTCAGCAGAGACATGGGGGTTCAGTGTGGCCCTGCCAGTGGGGGGCTGGCACTTGGGAACTCAGGTGCGTCTTGGCAGGGCCAGCCCCAGGAACCCGAGGACTCTGCTGGGCCTGGTGCCAGAGGACGGAGCAGAGCTTGGAACTGAACAGGCTGCAGGATAGCACCCACCACACTTTGGTCCAAGTCACAGGTCTGGGGAACCATGGCTGTGACGAGGCAGAGTGTCCAGAGCAGAGCATTCTGCCCCAAGTGGTTTCTGATGGACCTCACCTCTCAGCCTCTCTCCTGGGGAGACGCCCACATGCACGCAAGATGGCGCGATGTCAGGGTGAGGACGTGGTCCTGTGTGGAGGACTCTGCCACAGCTCACAGGAAGGAGCTCCGTAAGACTGCCCTTTTCTTGCTAGTTGATTTTTTTTAAAGATTTTATTTTTAAGTAAACTCTACAGCCAATGTAGGGCTTGAACTCACAACCCTGAAATCAAGAGTCGTACGCTCCACCAACCGAGCCAACCAGGCACCCCACTAGTTGACATTTTTTAAAAACAGCTTCACTGAGCTATAATTCACATGCCATACAATTCATCTCTCAAAGGTGTACAATTCAGTGGTTTTAGTGTCTTTGCAGCTGTGAGCAACTGTCACTTCAGTCAGGCTTAGGACATTTTCATCACCCCAAAATGAAACTGTGAGTTCTTCAGCCATCGCCCCAGCCCTCACATCCCCTGGCCCCAGGACCACTGCCTCTCATGTATGCAGAGGCCCTATGCTGGACTTCCTGGTGGAAAGCGGTCAGTGGTTGCTGCTGGGCGGGCGGGAGGGTGGCGGGGAATGACCAGGCACCAAAGAGCATGGGGGCTCAGCCCGTGAGGATGGCCACTATTAAAGCCGGACAGCAGCAGGTGCCGGCTAGGATGCAGAGAAGCTGGGACTCTCGAGCACCGCTGTGGTGCAGGTAAAAGGTAAAAGGTGAAGCCACTGTGGACAACGGTCCAGAAGGTCCTCACGAGGTTGAATGTGGAAATACCACGTGATATAGCAATCCCACTCCTGGATACACACTCCCCAAAACTGAAAGCAGAGTCGCCAACAAATATTTGTACGCTAATAGGCACAGAAGTATTATTTACAGTAGCCAAGAAGTGGGAGTGGCCAGGTGTCCATCAGCAGGTGTATGGAAGAACAAAATGGTCCATACATGCAATGGATACCACTCAGCCTTAGAAAGAAATCCTGACACTTGCTACTATCTGGATGGACCTTGAGGACATGTGCTAAAAGAGGCCAGGACCAGAAGGACAAACACTGGAGGAGCCCACTTATCTGAGGAGTCAGATTCATGCAGAGTAGAGGTGGTGCCAGGGGCTGGGGCGGGGGAGCCAGGGTTTAGTAGGGACAGTGTTGGTTTTCCAGGTGGAGTCCGGGGGTGGACGGAGGTGGACAGAGGCGGCAGCGGCAGCAAAACAGTGCGAAGGTGCTTAATGCTTGTTCACTGTATGCTTAGAAATGCTTAGGATGGTAAGTTTTGTTGTGTCTCTTAGCACAATAAATACAAAATTAAGAGAAAACACGAGGGTGCTTTCTGGGGTGATGAAAGCGTTCTCTGACGGTGGTGGCGGAAACGTAGTCATATGCATCTGTCAGAGTGCATGACGCTGCACACTTGAAACAGGAGCATCTTACTGCATGTATGTTACGGCGCAGGAGTCCATTTTAAGATGCGCTCCTGACCCAGGATCAGACCCAGGCCCGTGCATGACCCAGGCCGGACACTGCTAGTTGGTGGGAAAGTGAACGGTGTGTGACGGGAGCTGGCTGCTAGGAAAAGGGGAAGCCGCTCCCCGATCAGAGTAATTCCAGACTGATCAGTGATGTAAATATGAGAAACAGAACCATAAACGCAGGACAAAGCCTGTCACTGTAATACTTTGCGATCACCCTGGAACGGGGTTAGCTTTTTCTAATCCCCAAAACCGGGACCAGGAAGAAAAGAGGGTGGTAATGCAGCCCCAGCCCGGTGCCCCAGGAGCCGGGCCGGGAGGGAGGCTGTGGCTCCTCATGCCCTGCGATCTCCAAACGCTCACGGAGGCCCAGGGGAGGGGCCCCTGACAGGTGAACAAGACCCATGGTGGGCCTCCGAAGCAGGAAGCTCCAGGCGAGGGAGGTGGGTGCAGACTCCACTTTCCCCGTGTCTGACTGCGTGTGGGCAGCAGTGCATGGAGGGGTCCTTCCTGCTGGCCTGCCAGACCGTGTGGGACCTCACCCACCACCAGCCGGGCGGGACATGCTGCGCTCCCACGCAGGGGTGCCACGGCCGTGACGTCTTCTCTCCTGAGTTTATTTCCAGTACATTCTACATGGTGAGCAGTGGCTGTGAGAGTCCCTGGATTATCACCTCACCCCTAGGAGTCCCCATGGGGTGTCCACCTGAGCTGGGGGTCTGCAGGGGCGGGGCGGGGCGGGCTGTCAGCCCTGGTGGGGGAGGGGGGCACTGCAGCCCAGCCTGTGGCTCCAGACATGGCCAGCAGCGCCTGTCCCCGTCTGCCCCTCGGGGCCAGGCCCCTGGTCTGTTTGTCTGCAAAGTGACCAGGAGGACAGCTCACGTGAGTTCACTCTATGGCAGGCACGGCCCCAGATCTGCCAGGAGCGATGACAACTGCACCCCTACGCTGTACCCTTGCCTGATGGCACAGGGGTCACCCACCCTCCCAGGGCCCGTCCAGAGACCCCAGGACCACACGGCAGCGCCCGAGTGACAGCTCTGTTATCATTACCTGGACTCATTAACATGCCCACAGATGAATTCTCCACAAAGCCAAGAGTCTCTTTTAAATCCAAATCAGGGGGGCGCCTGGGTGGCTCAGTCGGTGAAGCATCTGCCTTCTACTCAGGTCATGGTCCCAGGGTCCTGGGATCGAGCCCCACGTCGGGCTTCCTGCTTAGTGGGGAATCTGCTTCTCCCTCTGCCTCTGCCCCTCCTCCCCCACTTATGTTCATGCACTCTCTCTCTCTCTCTCTCTCAAATAAATAAATTAAAAAAAAGAAAAAAAATCCAAATCAGAACAGGTCACCCCCTGACTCAAGCACTCTAGTGTCTTCCCAGTGCCCCCAACTGCAATCTGTCCCCGATCCTGTGAGGCCCATGGGAGGCCCACCCTCCCCCCAGGCCCCTGCACCAGGGTACAGGTCTGAAGGTCTTTTCTTGCTTGGCCGCCTCTCAGCTGCCCTGGACAAGTGTGGGCACTGCCACCGATGAGGGGAGCTGCTGTGTGCCAGCCGTCTCCTCTCACCTCCTCTAACGAGGCAGCCCTAAAGTCTTCATCATCTGCCGCGCTGGCAGACTCCCTGGGCCAACGGGACGGTGCTGGACCTGCGCAAGCAGCCTCGAGGGTCCCCAGCCCAGCGCCACGGCCAGAGGCTCCTTATCTCTCGGCAGAGCACACAACGAGCTCAAGGCCCCGCCACCCCTGCTGCCATTACCGTCCAGGAGTCTGGGGGGGAAAGGGAAGCTGGGGGGGGCCCAAGCCCCAACCCCGTTCGAGCCCCCTGTTCTGACACGGCCATTCCCATCGGAGCAAGGCGGGATCAGAAAGGAACGCGGAGAGGCGGCCCGTTCTGTGGGGCACGACTCCTCTTGGTCCCGGCCTGCGGGGAGGGGGAGCAAGTTCACCTAAGGTTGCGCTGGTTCAGTTCAAGGCCTGGGGCTTGAGTAGCGGCCAGGAGGTGGCGCCCCAGACGCTTGGAAATTCTAGGGGAACAGCGGAGGGGCTGGGGGGGGTCTTCCCCACCACTCCTCACCCTGGATGCCAGCCTGGCAAAGGCAGGAGGGAAGGCATTCTCCATCCAGTCCCCACCACCCCCAGTGCCACGGAGGGCCCAAGTTAAAGTTTGCTTGGGGAAGTTGAGGGACCTGTGTCCCTGCAGGGGCCCTGGGAAGGGCCCTGGGCAGGTTCCTGGCCCACAGTGAGAGGCCTGGACATCTGGCCAGGCACAGCCATGCCCACCTGGGAAGGCTCTGAACAGACGGGGCAGGCACCCTCAGACCCCTGGGGCCTGCGCCCGCGCGCCAGCCCCTTTCCCAGGGCACGCAAACAGACGCTCCTGCTGGAGCTCGCCCAGCACAGTCCCTCCGCTCCTTCCATTCCAGGGGGAGGGGTCTGGAGCTGGCCAGCAGACCCAAGGGGGGGGTGGGCAGGCCCAGTGCGGCCACCAGACCTGTGCAAATAACTTCCCGAAGACCATTTACTGGGATGTGACCCAGGCAGCCACATCGTCTCTACACCTGGCAGCGAGCCAGCGTGGGGGCGGAAGAAAAGGGTCACTCGGGGAGAAAATACAGGTGGGAGGTGCCCGGGCTGCAGGTTCACGGTCTCGGTGGAGGGGGCACGCCCGGTAGGGAGAGTGTCACGGCCGGCACTAACTCCCCTAGGGTGCACAATCCCGAGCCGGGCGGAGGTCACAGCACGCTTTGTCTTCGAGGACCCGACCCGCGGGGCAGTCTCCGCTCAGACACGCGGCAGGCACAGCCTCCGCCGGCCGCGCCCCGCCCCAGACAAAGAACTCCAACTCCGGGCAGGTGAGCGCGGAGGGCGCCGGGAACCGGGGTGGCCTAGCCCCCGCCGGGGCGCAGACAAAAGCGCGCGTCCCCCACGACGCCCGGCCCCGCCTCCGCCACAGGCCCCCCCATTGCCCTGGCCAAGGCCCGGGACCCTCTGCAGGGATGCACCCCCGCCCGCCGGCCGCCACGTGGGCCGCGGGG